TTCTCTCTTTTCTTCTTTCCTCTCCTACTTCTTGCTGTCTACTTTACTCTACAGTCAACGAACAAGACAGAATTCTATGGCAGGTCAAACTTCAACAAGACCAAATCATACTTTACAGGTATTTATATCCTGCAAAATTTAGTGCACCTTCTAATATTTACATAGTTTTTTTCAGAAAATTCTTGTTACTCATAATAAACTAGAAACTTGAATATCATTTTCTGCAAGTGTCGATGCATAACTAAATACTGATGTCAATATATCTTTTAAGCAATATTGTGTCATAACAATATAATACAGTGAGGATGCTGAAGAATCTGGGGCTCTATATTACGATCAGAAGAGGGAGAACGGGGAAGGGGAGAGGATCATTACTCTTAGAGTCAAATTCCACATTTGAACACCAAGAGGTAGCTGTAAATGATCCTAGCAGCATTGTTACTGGTCCAAAACTTGTCCCACATAAGCAAAAATAATGCCTTACAGACATGCAAGCTTTCATGCATGTAACATGTACACACACAATATCAATCAATAATCTAAAGGAAATAGAACTCACACAGAACTTCATGGGCTGTTAGTCGCCTTTTGGGGTCTCTAACAAGCATTCTCCTCACTAAATCTTTTGCACTTTCTGAGATGCTGGGCCATGGGTCTGATGAAAAGTCAAGTTGACCACGAAGGACCTCTTCAAATATCCCTTGTTCCGTTTCTTTATCATCAGAATGAAAGGAAAATAAGTGAGAGAAAAACAAGAAAAAAGTTAACTTTGATTGCTGAAATTACAAATTCGTGTATATAAATGCATAAGCAGAAAAAGAAAATAAAGAAACAAGTGAGTATTTAAGCCTGAAATTCTCACCAGCCCAAAATGGAGGGACCCCACTTAACAAAATATAGATGATCACTCCAGCACTCCAGACATCTGCTTCTGGACCATAACGCTTTTTCAGAACCTCTGGTGCAACATAGTAAGGGCTTCCCACCACATCAGTGAAAGTTTCACCTGGAAGAAGAAAACCGTCAATTTCCAATTAACATTTTTTTTTCTTGGGGGGGCGGGGGGAGAGTTATAAGAATATGCAACACTAGAAAGAGAATAAAGAGAACGAGGAAGAACAATTGAAAGCAATTACCAGAATATCTACCCTACCAAAAGATTTGACCAATTGAGGTTCAGGAAAAATAAATCCACATTTTTCTTGTAGATGAACTGATTGACATGAAACCCAGGAGGCCAGGACAATGTTGGTAACCAAGAGATCATTCACTACTTGTTATGATACCATGATGCTTACAACTTTACCACACAGAAACTAATGGATAAATCCAAGAATAATCTCATGTCCTCTTTGCATAGAAGTACAAGAAGAGAAAATAAGCCTGTTGAATTCATGACACTCAAATTGTAGGAGCAACCAATGTTTATTGGGAGGCTTTTCATATGCTCTTGTGGGTCAAGGTGTGATGTGATGAATAAATTCATAAAGTCTTCATAGAATTAGTAACGTTTTTAGACCAAGATTACAATGATAATATGGATGGGGAAGATTCATTGGCAAAGAGATACGTAAATGACAGTGTTCCCATTCGACAACTTAAAGATTTAGATGGATATTAGGATGATGACTAAACCCAAATATGTAAGTAGTTTCAGATATACTGATGAAGGAAAACAAAATGCCAGATGTAAGACAACAAAATCATAACTATTTTTGGCAACATTGCTATTTGTCTCTAGTATTAGTGAAACAGAATGTTCAGTTTACATACTTTAGAGTTGTCTCTCTCCCAATTAATGTCGGGTGTTCTAATGGTTTCAATATCAATAATTGAATTTGATAGATTAAAAAAAAGGAATTTGATAATAGTTAGTTTAGTATTCTGGAACAAGTAAGGTCTATGCATCTGACTTTGATGGTACATTGGTTTTAAAAGGACTTTTTGCACATGCAAACATACACAGACATTGCAATGAATGATAATGTAAAAAATCGGTAAATTCAAATAAGATATCTAAGAGGATATTAAAAATTAACAATATAAGCAAACTGCAAGATTAAACATGATGATTTTGTTACATAAAACTTCATCCTTATTATATAATAAAAGAATCAAAGGGTAGATATTTTCTTTTTAGGATAAAATTCATCTAATTACAACTTACTATTGTGAACTATATCAGAAAAGTGCTTGTCCAGAAAAAGTTCTTTCGAATTCAGTACCCAATAAAATTGTGTATAATTCCTGTGCTAGTTGATTATGATCAAAGCAAAAATAAATATATAACCTCAGACAAGTTTCCTAAGCTTGAGGGCATTTAACCTGTCAATTGATTATAAAAGTTAAAAAAGTAAATCTGAAATGTGGAAATACAGATAAGGGTTCATGCATCTCTTATACTATTCCAAACTTATTTTCTTCTGCTAGCTGTCAAAACCACAAAGAAATCTCAAAATTTTGTCAAAAACTAAATCTTTGCTAAAAAACCAGAATTGCATCAAGTTCATAGTAACATGAAGAAAGTTTTCTACAAAGAAAAAAATTGACACAAATGAAAAGCACCCTCTGTTAGATCTTCATAATCATTACAAGCATACAATTGGAATAGAGTAACCCCAAACAGACTGCTTTCAGATAAACTGAGGGACTTCAATCTATCATAACTTCACAGACAAGTATATAGAAAAATCAAGTAGAATATAGAAGATTGTTTACAGTTCGAAAGCAAGTTAAAGGGATATTATTATAACCTATGTATTAGAAAATTCCAAACAAGATAGCAGGACCCAAATAACCAACAGCATTTTAAACTGAGCAATTCGTGTACACAACAATTGAAAGCTCAGACTTTCCATGTTGTTATGCATGATTCAATAGAAAAGAGTAAAAAGTTAACAAAGATGAGAAATCATATTGAATCACCTCATAATAACAATCTAAGAAAGGAAACACAAAACCAATTCAAATGAACCTCAAAAGAGAGAATGCATTAGCATTGCACCTGGCTTGAAGAATGTAGACAACCCAAAGTCGATTGTTTTAAGAGGTGAGTCCTCCTTCTGATTGACAAAGAGAAAATTCTCAGGTTTAAGGTCTCGATGCATAACCCCTAAGGAATGACAGGCTTCCACAACACCAACTATAATCCTAGCAAGCTCAGCTGCCTTTCTTTCTGTGTAATGGCCCCTCTGAGTAATCCGATCAAAGAGCTCACCTCCTGCACACAGTTCCATAATGACATGAACTCCAACAGCATCCTCATAAGCCCCTTTGATTGAGATGACATTTGGGTGGCCAGCCAGGTGGTGCATTATCTGAATTTCCCTCCTCACATCCTCAACATCCTCTTCTGTAACCAGTTTCCTCTTTGCAATTGATTTGCAAGCATACTCTTTCCCAGTTGCTTTTTCCACACACAGGAAGGTAGTCCCAAACTGCCCTTGTCCAAGCTTACGCCCCAAATTGTAGAACTCCTTCAGATTGCCAGTTTTCTTGGTTAACACAGACTCTGCCTGGAGCCCAGCACTTGGAGCTCTTCTATGATGGGGCTTCTTCGGCTTTGCAGGTGGCATTTGTTTAGTTTCCTCTTTGGGAATTTTCACCTGTTCAGGAGGTTTGCTTTGGACAGGCGGAGAAACTTCAGGGGTTTCCTTCACAGATGGTGCTTCACTGGCTGCATCTCCATTAGCATCAGGCAATGACGACCTCCACATTGCAGATGAAACTACTTGAAAGAATCCATTCTTAGAAATACTGGGTCCTACACAAGCGTTTCCCATCTCAAAAAACTCTCAATTCCTACTGCACCCTTCCTCTACTTTAACACAACCAGAAAGAGATGATTTCACTACGTCAAACCCAATTACTCTGAATATGTTTGATGCTCTCAGAGTACAAATTTCAAAACCAAACTTATCAATCAAACAAACCATAATTGATGCCAAAACCAGTATCTTAAGTACCAGACAGAAGATTTCACACCATTTCACAATCTTTCTGTCTAGAGTCTCCACCCAATTCTCACCATAAAACAGAAAATTGGAATACCAAGGTAGAGAAACAGTCTTGAAATCGGCGCAAAAATACAACAACAAAATTAACCCAGAAAACCCAACAGAATTTGACAGAAAACTAAAACCCAGAAACTGAAAGACCCTCTGAACAATACCCAAGTCTCCAATAAATACAAACACACGCTCAAAATATAGAGTTTCAGCCAAACTCTATCATCTCATAACCTTTCCTCACAACAAAAATCACAGTACGAAGTGAAGAAACCTTAGAGATGATCAAATTATATTTATAGATAATAGTCCTACATCGATATCAACTATGCAAACCCATATAAGACACAGTCAGATTATGAACAAGCCCGGGAAGCAACAGAACTTGAAGAAAGTTCTGGGAAGTAAAGAACAGAGAACTAGTCCTTCGTCGACCTTCGTTTACCAAGTCGCTTAGTCTTTAACGTTATATCCAAGTCTCATAGGAGAGAGAGAGAGAGAATGCTTGAAGTGGGCGGACGGCCGGACGCCATTTTTACTTACAAAGAAATATTTTCCTTCCTTTTCGGCTTTTACCGTTGGTAATTTTTCAAAAACGCGTTGTGTGGAATAATCATGATTAATTAAGATTTAATCTTGTAGTTTAAAATATTAATTATATGGTGATTAGTTATGACAGCTCATTTCCAAATCATGGGCCCTTCAAGAGTGTTGGGGTGGCCCACAATTTGGCTCTGCTGATCGAATGATCTCAGTCACCTGATTAATCTGATGACCCTATTGATAGGGCGGCCCACTTGTTCTATGGTCAAAATTGATTAGATATTTATACCTATTAACACGGTTTTGACTTCTATTTTGGGAAATTGGAGGCCCACTTGGTTAGTGGATCTGAACCGTTTGATCAAACGGGGATGGACATGGTATCAACAAGGTGAAAGAGTAACCACTGGATCAAACATATGAAAGAGTAGAATAACCACTGGATCCAAATGACACTATTACAGTAACAGGGTTGAATCTGGATCCGACCTGTTAATAATTGAAGCGGGTCCAACTGGATCCGAGTCCTCACCTACATAACAGGCTTGGCCCAGTGTCAATAATATGGTGGCCCATTATTCTAAAGGTTGAGATTAAGCCCATTATGTGACAGCTGATGTGGGCATGGAAATAGATATAAGGCTTATAAGTTGAACAGTATGGACTACCACGCCAGCCTCCACGTGGAAGATGCAGTCTTCAAATAGCGAAACTGTAGCTAAGAAGTTTCCACCTGATCCAAAGAGACGAGTCAGCTATGAAGTAGAATGGTTCCATGTCCACGATTATTAGGCCCATATCCATATACCCTTACTAGTTTTGAAGCCCAAAGTTTTCCTCAACCCTCACCAAGCTATGTCACCCTAACAGTATGGTCCAGGCCCATACCATTCACTATTGTATTTTATGGGCCCCACCGGACCAGATAGATTACAAATCATACAAACTGATCAGAGACAGAACCTACCTAGCTAAATATTACCATTAGAAGCAGTAGAAGCATTGACGAAACCAAGGTTCAAAGTATCGACACGTATCGCCTATCGGCCCATATCGATTGATACGTATTGTTTCAGGACTCCTCCGATACACCCCTACAGTGGGTGTATCGGGGGTCTGACCGGTTCAGGGGGTGAAGGAGCCTTAAACCGATTATAAAAGAAAATAACAAACTGTATCGATTTGCCCGATACACCCATACCGGCATATTGGGGATATCAATATTTTGAACCTTGGACGAAACAATCCCAATCAGTGATAGGTTTGGCAAAACAATCGGTTTGTCGGTCGGGTCACTATTTGACAATCCATGTCAATGACCCATTTATGTCATGGTAACTTATGTTCCTAAAAACAACCTACCAGTTATGGTTTCTTTGTCATGTATGACTAGACTTTTTTTTTCCATTTTTTGAATAAAAAAAGGAGTTTTTGTATAGAATTGACCGGGTCATAGTCTTTGTTTAATGGGTTGTGCAGTTTCATTAAGGAATTACATAAAGTTAAATATTTTAATAAGAAAAATTCATACTACGGGCATAAATTTAGCCGATTCGAGGCAGAGCAATGGTGGGCATTTAAGAGACACATTGGGGGTGGTCCTTAGCCTAAAATCATTGAATAAAAATAAAAATCAGATGGGGGGGATTGGTGGGTTGAAACGGATCGGATCTGGATCCGACCAACAGAAAACCCATGCCCCAAAAGGGGGAAGTGGGCTCGGATAATCTTTTAGGGTGGATCTACATCTAATCGATTTATGCATTCAGGGCAAATTACAGATAAATTTTGTCGGATCCAGGCTGTGAAATATGGATTTTGATGGCAACCCGGACTGATGAATATGGGTATTAAATAGGCTGAATTTCATGCATTAGGCTCGACCCGGGCCCTAGAAATTGGATATATTTTATAGGGTGTAAATACAAACAAATGAAAGCGTAAAGGACACATCAACTTTCTTACCAAAAAAAACACATCAACTTGGCTTAGTAGTATGACTTGGAATAATAAATGTAGATGGGCAAGTTGGCCACCAATTGACTGAAGTGAAGGCAATCCAAAATTAATGTTAGTTAGAGGAGGTTAGGACTGAAATTCTCCATCAGGAGCCAATCAAGCACCAAATCCCCCTTCATTATTATGTGATGTAATTTTTGTTTTTTTTAAGGTTTTGGTAACTTACGTTTTTAGGTTTCCATTGAAGGATGAAGACTTAATTTAGTGGCCCTCTTGAGAGAGGATCGGTGGAGGCATCTGGTTTATTTAGGTGTGATCATGGCTTACCATCTATCATCTATGAAAATAGCGGGGTAAGGTGTCTTGGGACACATAGATCTTGAAAAGTTATCCAAAAAAAAAAAATTATCTCAATCAGATATCGGAGTGCAAAGTTATGGCCTTCGAAAGTTTGCATGCATAAAGTGTGCAGTCCACAACCCAGTCATCGGATCGAATGGGTGGTTATTGACCAAGTCAATGACTTTTAACCATCTGACATGCCTTAACTAAACCGAACCCAAAATCTTGACCAGGTGACAGTTCAAAATTAATAATGAAATGAAAACATTGGTTTAGCACCTATGATAAGGGTTATAGTCAAAGCATAGGTTTGTATGGATTCAATCAGGGTCTAATCACATGACCTAAGTTTAAGATCGAAAATTTGCAGGCTGGGTTGGGCCACAAATAGTCACTATACCCCTAAAAAATTTATCATATGACTATTTTATCCATTAAACTTAGGTTTTGTGATCAGGCCCCGATTGAATCCATTAAAAGACAAAAGCAAGAGAGTAAAATACTAGCTGTAATCAAAGGGCCGACCCCTAAATTTTGCTACCACATCACTTTTCACTTTTTCAGTGTTCCATCCTTTCAGATTTTGATACTCTGCCTTTGATTTTCCATCTATAGCATATAGCTTAGGGGCCGTTAATAAGTGGTCGAATTGATGAAAGGCTTGTATTTTAGGCACTGTTTGGGAGGAGTGCAAATATAAATATGTTCTCTGCAAATACAAACAAAGCCTTAGAACATAAGCTTTTAAGGAGGCTGTGAGCTTGGTTAAAATTGAAGAAGGGTTGATTATTACACTTTCAAATATTTTGTTATTTAATTACTTTTTCTACTATAAGACAAAGCAATAAACCATCCAATTTAAAAACTTCAGCTACACCTTAAAAAACAGATTAGCTGAATTTGATAACTGTGTTTCACGCTGTGGACCTTGTCCTAACGCCCACACCAGCCATTAGTTGTGGGCCATATACACTTTATGGTTGATGTGGAGCATTATGATTGGTCCCACATCCCCAAAACACAACTATCAAGTTCAGATAAATATTTCTCCAGACTTAGGGGGTGTTTGCATGGTTTCACTTTCTGAAACAAAAACCATATATATTGGTGAACACCCTTCTTAATTGGTGAATGAATTTTCAAGAGTAGGTTATGAGGCAGTACATGGAGGCTACAAATGTGGATAATTAAATTAATCAGCCAAGTATTAATGAGATTGCAGACTATTCAATTCAGAAGTTGAGCAATAAAATTAGACCATAAGAAGGAAAAATAAACAAATAGACATCAAGGCACATGGTCAAGTTTCTTGAATCTATCTAATGCTGCATGTAGACATTATTCAAGACTAACATTACTCTAAAGCACAATAGGAGCTTTGAAAGATTTATTTCTTTGAGATGCTGGTGCTATGTATTCATCAATCTCATCATTCCACTCTAAATTATAAAGTTGTTATTGTTACTCAACACCAAAATTTGGAGTGCATAATACTCAAAAGTGCTTTGGACTTTGGATCATTGGCAGAAATTAGGGTTTATTCTCAAATAGGGCCTGTAATGTAATTATTAATGAGAAGATGAATTTCTTTTATGTAATTGATCAGTCAACTAAAACTTCATAATACATACTTATTAATTCGACTTGCATTAGGTAATGGCCGTTTTTCTTCAATAATTATAGTCTTTTTGTATAGAAAATGATCATATGGTTGGTAGTTTTAATGCATTCAACCATTTTTTATGGGCTAATGCTACTACACCCAACCATACAAATAATACATAAAAAATGAAAATAAGACCATTGACCCGATCAACGGCTTTTTGCAATTTGAACTATTGAAAAAAGGGTGGGTCATGGTCTATATGAACCGAGATTCTAGGTTGGATTGTGGGTTCACTGGTCTGACCAAACAGGTTAATGACTGATTGAAAATTCTGGGGTTTGTCATTTCATAGTCTGAAATTGTTTTAAGGTTGCATTTATCATCCAGGACTTATCACATTTTTATGGTTTAAAATTCAATGTTCATAAGGGAATTTTAATAGTTAAAAGGAGACAAATCCTTAAAATAAGGAATGAGAAATGCAGCCTAGGTTTTTTTTGGGGAATGGTCACCAATGTGAATGGTTTCCTTAATGATGGTAGTCACCTAAAATTAAAAAAAGATGATCACCCCAATCAGACATCTGAGTGTAAAATTATGGATTTTATAATTAAGTTTGCATTTATGTGCTAAAAATTTTCAAAAAATTGGCTGATTTTCTAAAACCGGAATTGGGCCATCAGTTTTCCGGTTCAGTCATCCGGATTAATTGTTTTAGTTGGATTTTTACCCAATATAGTTTTGGGGTATGACCGAACTATCTAGAGGCCTGGGTCTGGTTCAACCGTTGATCTGGTTCAATTTTCTAAACACTAGTCTCAGATATGGTTTATACTCTTTATGTAATGCTTCTAATGAAGACAAAAGTGGGGTTATAGGTAGGATTGTGTTTGATGGATACTGCCAAAAGCGGTTGATCTTGCGATTAGAGACTGCAAAGGTCCTCTTTTGGAGAATGTAAGATTAGTGAGGGAGAGTCCTACCAGACAAATCAAGAAGAGAGCA